TGGAGAGAACAATCATGGGAGAAGGAAGGGCTGCTTATGCACAGGGAGATAGCTCAGGGGGCAGGAGGGTTTGGAGGGATGGACACTGGGAAGTGGTAACTATGGGGAGGAAGTGGGAGGGGAGGTGTTGCATTATGGTAAACTGTGGTCAATGACATGAGACAAAGTATATGTGAACTGCTGTATAGAAAGTGAATTTTCTCTGTAAATCTTCACCCAAATCACAATAAATAATAATAATAATAAAAGATGTTGTTGTTGTTGTTATTGTTGTTATGTGCCATCAAGTCGGACCCGACTCATAGCGACCCCTCCTTGGGTTTCCAAGGCAGTATCACTAGGGAAGTAGATTGCCCAAACTTCCTTCCAAGGAGTGGCTGGTGGGTTTGAATGCCAGCCTTCTGGTTACCAGTCAAGTGCCTTAGCCACTATGTACAAAAATACCCTTACCCTCAGAGCTACTGCTGTCATTATTTCTAAATAAGTCTTGACTTCCCTAACTATGATGGAAAAACTAATTTTGTCTTCAAGCACAGTGCCCTTTACCAACTTAGCATCCTCTCCCTTTTGAGTTTCACCAGCTGGAAACTCAGATACAACATCATCAGAGGAAAAGTAAAACTAAATTCCCTTAAGCAGTCACTCTGCTCATACACAACAGTTTCTACACATCCAATTCAGTGATACTGATAACTCAAGTTGTAGAACTATTCTTACCCTCTTTTTTCTGAGTTATTTCTCCTCCATTAACATAAATTCACTGCTTCCTAAGTTTCTTGTCTAATCTTTCAAGCTGTTGTTGTCAGTTGGATCCCATACAGATAGATCTTTAAAGAGCACAATATTTAAGGCAGACTTTTTTTTACTAGTTAAGCTAAACTATTGTAAGGTTTTCAGAAGACTTCAGAGAATATTTTTGGTTTGAAGATTATCCAGGGCAATAGTTTCAAGGACAACCTGGGTTCTTAAGGGACAAGTTATCTCATTTTTTAAAATGGCAGCATGTTAGCAAACTTCTTTTGTTCACAAACTTAAATATTTGTGCAATAAATATCTCACATTCAGTACTTCTTCATTGATTATCATTTCTGGTATGTAGATTATTATTAGTATTATGCATACAGGTTAAACAAAACATCAAAAAATTCCAAGCATCTCTTATTCCTTCAACTCCCCTCTAATTTTCCTATATATACTTCCTATCCCTGTCTTAATCATGCCCAGATCTCTGTTGGCTATCTTTTCCTTGGGCTCAGTGAAGTGGGACAGTGACTCCACTCCAGAGTTAATACTAAACACACCCTAGTCCAAGCCATGCTATGACATTCAAAACTTCCAGAGCTACCACTGAGGCAATTTTGGGAGGAGAAGAAACCACAGAGTCTTAGGACCTGTTTTTCTAATTCTGAGGTTCATTTTGCATAAATATATGCAGTATAGTTAGTAGTATAGGCTTTAATAAGCCTACAAGACTGTAAACAGGGAACCAGAGATATCAATTGACAAATGAGGACAACTACAAACCAAAAAGAGAGACAAAAACTGTGTCGTTACAGAACTCCTAGATGATAGGGAAGTCCAGACAACTACAAGATAGAATGGATTGTTCTAAACTGGGAAGAAAACTATAAATCACAGGGTAACCTCAAAGAAAAATGATAAACCTTCACATCAAAATATAAAAGAGGAACAGCACTAATATTTAGCAAATATTAAAACAATAGCAATGAAGGAAGTGATAACACGATTCATAAACAAAATGAGCTCAGCATAGAAAATTATATGGAATAAAGAAATTGACACCATGAAAAAGCACATAACAAAAACGACAGCAACAAGTTCATATTTTCTGATAATTACATATCAGGCAAGGGACTTATCTCTAAGATTTATAGAAAATTCTAATGCCTCAACAACAAAGGAATTGACAATCCAGTTGAAAAATGGGCAGAAGACATGATATTCAGGTGGCCAGCTAATACATGAAGAGATGCTCATAATAATTGACCATCAGAGAAATGCAAATCAAAACAACAATGAGATACTGTCTCACCCCAGCACTGATGGCAAGGTTCAACAAGACAGAAAATAACAAATGCCGGTTGGGATGTGGAGAGATTGGGACTCTCATACACTGCTGGTAGGACTATGAAGTGATACAACCACTGTGGAAAGCAATATGGTGATTCCTCAGAAAGCTGGAATTGAGATACCATTTGACCCAGCATCCCATTACTAGATATATATCCTGGAGAGGTGAGAACCAGGACAGGAACAGATACACACACACCCATATTCATTGCAGCACTATTTCCAATACCAAAAAGATGGAAACAACCTACATGTCCATCAGCGGAAGAGTGGATGAGCAAACTATGGTACATACACACAGTGGAATGCCATGTGGCACTAAAGAATAATGTAGAGTCTGCAAAACACTGCATAATATGGATGAACTTGGAGGACATTATGCCAAGTGAGATAAGTCAATCACAGAAGGACAAATATTGTATTAATTCCTTGTTGTGAAGGGTCAAAGTTTATATATGGAGGGAAACTTTCTTTGTTGGTTGCCAGGAGTAGGAGGAGAGGGGAGGGAACACTGCCAAAAAAAAAAAAAAAAATACATTGACCCATGTCATTTTAGTTTTGTGTATTTCACTCTACATAAATTTCTGCTTTTTTTGGCCAAGGAAATGTTTGGTAATTGTCAGGAGCTAATGGCAGTTACGGTGCTGTAGTAGTAGCATCAGTAATTGGATACAATCACTCAATTGGTCTTGACTATTAGAAGGTAATACATAGCTGAGCATCATTTTGAACAAGAATATGAAGGCAGAATTGGACTGGATCAAATAAAATGAAAATAAACTAATACTCAATGCAGAACATTTAGTTTCTTTCTATCACAGTTTCTAAGTAACCTGATCATTTCTCCGAAAAGATTAGTGAGTGTTTTCTAAACTAAGATGAGTTCTGAAGAAATTGCTTCTGTCAAATCATTGGACTCCTATGGGAAAACCAAGTAAGTTTAAAAAAAAGAAAAAAAGAGAGAGACAGATGTATGCACTAAAGGTCTATCCATCAACTTTTAAGCCAGTGTCACGTGTAGCTTCATTGAAGCCAAGAAAAAGCTACTTCTGTTCTTTGAATTACTGGAAAACAAAAACAAAACCCAAGTTATTAACATTGACTCAAAAGCTGACTTTCTTCTTTTCCTTTCAGCCAGCATATGTCCCAAGGAAACCAATCCCAATAACAATCATCAAGGAAGGTAATTTATATGAGTCTGCTCTGGATATGTATTTAGAGTCTTTTAAAGTGTACTTTTGAACTGAAGTAATGAAGTATATATATATAGCACATATTTCCTTGATTTTTCTGATTGTTGTTTCTTTTTAAAAAAAAAAAAAAGTGTGAAGATACTAGTATGGTCAAGCAAATTAGAATAGAGCATTCTGCCTCTTGTGTCAATATACCAAGTCTCAGGCAAGTCACACTAGCTGGCCAACTTGGCACCAAGCATCTGTTTAAAAAAATTGAAAAAAAAAAAAAAAAAACACTGCCATCAAGTTGGTTCTGACTCATAGCAACTCTGTAAAAGTATTAAATTTTTTAAAAAATCAAGTTGTGTGACTTTACTCAGTATTAAATTAGCATATATGAGGAAAATCATTAAGAGAATATTTGGATTAATGTAAAGGAAGACTATGATTTTAGTGGTCACTTTAGGGAAAGACATCCAGGTTTCATGTATTATAATGTCCTATTTCATTTCAGTACCCAGTTATTTTTGTTTTGGCTTTCAGTGTTTTTAATTGTTAAAATGACTCCATTATCTAATTCCAAAAAAATTCTTAATAGAAGAAATTTGGTATTTAAAATAGTTCTTCATTTTAAGAAAACACAATGTCCCAAGTATACTGTCAAAAAAGGTGGGTTAGTATTTCAATTTCCTAAATATTTTTTTATTTGAAGCTGTGTATTTTCCTCTTTTTTTCTGGTCATTGCTTCATTTTGTGCTAATTCTTATTGATGTGGGGATAGAGCAGGCTCAGTGAGGAGTGAGGGGAAGAAAATTTTAGCTAATTAGCATGGAACACTAATAGAACACGCTTTCATGATTTAAAGGCATCAGTATTAAGGAAAAAAGTGCCTTCCAATCCTTGATTGGCTATATAGCTAACCTTGTAAACTGCTCTATATTAATTAATAAAGTTAGATTAAGGTACCCCAGTACAAATGATTCCTCATTATTGCTTCTTGCTGCTTTCTGACTGCTTTTCTCCCCCATCATGTTATTGTCTTTATTTATTTCAACAGTGATTCAGAACGTTACTCACAGGGCTTCAATTAAATCCCCAGATAGGATTCCCTCAGGAGGAACAATAGTAGGTGAGTAAATCTTCAACTATGTGCTTCGATCTAGCAAGTCAGGTAATCTTTTTGTACTAGGCCTTTTACAGAGTTTTATACTGTGAGCAGGTCTGTTACATGGTTGGTTCATTTCCTTTCAGTATTTAGCATATTGGCATGTGGCCATCCCATGGTAGGAGCCAAGAGATGCTCCATCAGTCTGGGTGTGTTCAATCAGAGTTCTAGGCCATGCCCAGTGGGAATGATGGAGCCCATCCTTCATGCCCCCAGGATTGTTTGTAGTTATGAAGGAGTCTTTTTAAAACGTACTGAATTGTTCTTTTTTAAAATTATTACTATTAAAATTGGTATTCCTTGCTCACCACATGTCTTAAGCAGCCATTCTATAATTTTTGAGTCTAAGGATTAGAAGCCAGAGGATTTGGAAGCTCAGTTCTGAAAAAGATTCTATTTAGAAGGTATTATATTTTATTTTTCAACATTTTGAAGTTTTGGCTAAAATTAAATAAAATAAATTCTAAGCTTCACAGTTTGTAGTCTTTGATACTCTGAGCTTTATTTTATAAAATGATGCATTTTCTTCCCTTTATTTGACTGACTTCTGTTCCCTTGCAGTCCATCTTATTGTTCCAGGTCTTAATGAAACCACCATAAAACTTCCCACTTCTGTAATGCTTGAGATCACTGATGTGATCAAGACACAATTGGGTAAGCAGCAAAGTTCTGTATTTATACTTTGTAGGGACTGAGTAGAATCCCTCGATGGTGCAAACAGTGAACATGCTTGGTTGCTAACGAAAAGGTTGCAGGTTTGAGTCTACAGAGGCACCTTAGAGGAAAGACCTGGCAGTCTGCTTCCAAAAAATTAGCTGTTGAAAACTCTGTAGAGCACAACTGCACTCTGGCACACATGGGGCTGCCTTGAGTTAGAACAGACTCAGTGGTACCTGGTAATCGTGACTGAAAACAAAAACTGACACTCTTGGACATCCAAGGAATCTTGCAAATAGCTGTTTGGGGATCTCAACAGGGAGGTTGAATATATTAATATAAATCACATCCTAAAGTAAAATCATTTAATATTTTCAATTTATATTTATAAAAGAAGAGTGAATAGTTATCAAATCATCTAAAATATACACATGCATATAGGCATCATTTTCAAATAGTGCAATTATTCTAAATTATACTTTTTACACTTTACTATCAAGAGTCCCCTGGATATTTTCAAGGAGAACTACATAAATGTTACATTTATCAGAATTATTACTAATGTGAGATTGATACTGCATCTTATATCTGTAAAGAACTGGATATAATTTCAGTGTTAAATCAAAACAAAGCATAACACAGTAAAATCTACTTCATAGAGGCCCTGGGGAATAATTGTGTTAGTCACTGGTCTGAATTAACCTAACCTACTGCCATCGAATTAATTCCAACTCATAGTTACTCTATATGGCACAGTAGAACTCTGCCCCCTAAAGGGGCAGTTTTACAATCCAAAGTTGTAAATCTTAACAGAAGCAGACTGCATCATCTTTCTTTCTATAGCTTTGAACCACTGACCTTTTGGTTAACAGCCCAATGCTTTAACCACAGTGCCACCAGAGCTCCTTGGCTGTGTTATTGTTGCACTTTAGTTATCAGTTTAGATTCTGATTTATCTCTATAACACCCGGAGGGTTGAGCACACACCACTCTACATCAAGCAACTGTTGTGTTTTCAGGAAGCTTCCAAATAAAATTCCCTCAGTAAAATCTACATTTGTAATCCAAGCTCAGAATTGATGCACTCATCTATTCTTTTCCCAGAACCTGTATAACTTACCCTATGCCTGGGAAACACTTTTTGTAAAGAAGAAGAAATGAAAGAGGGTGGACAGTATTTTGCTAATTGGCTATAGTGGTCAAAACTACAAAGCCAGGGTTTGTAAAGGGGCTGAAAATCAGATTTTTCCCCAGACCATTGCTATCAGTTTTGTCTGGAAGGTGTTCTATTTCTTAGTTCCTAGTCTTGAGCCATCTTTCATAATTTTTTTTTCACAAAATTCCACATAGTACCTTAATTCCAGTTCAGCTTTTTTGATTTATTTAATTTAGAGGATTAAATATTTGGTTGTCACAACTGGGAGATGCTACCAGAATCCAGTGGGCAGAGGGCAGAGATGCTGTTTGAACATGCTTCAGTACACAGTACAGCCCAGTAACAATAACAACAAAGTACCTGGCCCAGAATGATTAGTGGTGAAGTCATAAGAATTGTTGTTGTTGTTGTTGTGTGCCATCGAGTTGGACCCGACTCATAATGACCCCTTCTTGGGTTTCTGAGGCAGTATCACTACAGAAATAGATTGCCCAACCTTCCTTCCAAGGAGTGGCTGGTGGGTTTGAACCGCCAGCCTTCTGGTTAGCAGTTAAATGCCTTAGGCACTACACTACCAGAGCTTCTCATGAGGCATTAGGACTTGAAAAAATTCCATCTAATTATTAGAGCAATGTACTAGATACTTTCAACATTTATTATTATTGATACATTGATTATTTATTTATTTATTTAAGCTTTTGATTCTCTTAAGGAATGAGTATGATTTTAATGAAGAAAAATTCTTGCAAGTAATAAATATCCTCCCTACATTTCTTGAGAAATGTGTCTTAAACTTGACACATGACAAATTTCTTACCCATTAAACAGGTGGTAGTCAGTATGTTTGAAAATGACTACTACATCCAAGAAAAATCCTATCAAGTGTACTGTTTAACAGAATGCATTTTAAACTCACTGTTTTAAAAGAGAGAGAAAGAATGTGTGGGCATAAACAGTTTATTATACCACCAAGGGAGAAATAAAATTTCCTGAAGTTAATTAAGTTTCACTGAAATTCAATAAAGTTATACTTTTTGAGAGGGTAAATCCTAAAAATAATATCCCAGTTCCAGCAGGGCTCATCACAGTATATCAAGACATGTAATAGGTCTTGTTCTAAGAACACATGGTGTGAATAATGAGAGAAATAAACAAGAAAGCTACTATTACACACACATCTCCAAGGGACATATGAAGGGTTTGCCAAAGCCAAGACTAAGCCTGCCAAATATGAAAGGAAACAACTGTGTTGGAAAAAGGGTACAGAAGAATAATAGAGGAAAAGGAATTTCCTGGGTTTTAGGTCATGTTCTGATGCCATTTTACTTTCCTATTGCCAAGACTTTTCTACGGCAATTGTACAGAGATAGAGTAGGTGAATAACCATGGCTTGTTATGGGGTACATAAGGATTTCCCAATTAAATATCTTCACAATCTACCAATTTCTCTGATGTCTGAAATGTCAGATTTGGAAATAGAGTGGTACACCTTTATAAGGAGTTACATCCCTTGCCCTTGAGTGGATTCTGACTTAGTGACTCTACGGGGCAGGTTAATACTGCCCCCATAGGGTTTCCAAGGCTGCAATATTTACTGAAACAGATTGCTACATCTTTCCCCCATGGAGAAGTTAGTGGGTTCAAGACCTTTCCAGTTAGCAGCTAAGCACTTAACCATTGCACCATCAGCATGCATTCTAAAAAGTTAGTGATGTATAAAAATATAGATATCCCTTAGGAAGGTAGTTTGTCACCTTTCTTCACTACCAGCTAAATTTTAGGCCAATGTGACTCCCAGCTAAAGGTATGCTTTGAATGTAAAGAGCTGAAGCAAAGCATTTCCCGTGAAACCGTAAATCTGGAGGTAAGAAAAGAAGTCCTAGTCAGCCAGGGACCACTGAGAATGCAGGATATTAAAAGGGAAGGAGAGGATTAGCAAAAGTGTCCTGCAGAAGAAAAGGAAGATATTATTAAAGAAAAACTTTATATTTTCTCATTTATTAAAAAAAAAAAAAAAACATTTCCTATGGTGCTTGCTGAAAATAATAGGATCATAGCACATGAATAATTTGGACTCTGAATATTTCCTCCTGTGCAAACAATCAGAATGGTTCTAAACAAAAGTTGTGGCTACAAAAGAAGCAGGAAAAATTGAAAAAGAAAAGCAGAGAAAAAATGTTGGTATCAGTTTCTGCTAAAATTTAGATATTTTAAAAATAAAAGTTATAAAATTATACTGGAGTCCATTTTTTCCCAGTCATTACAGAAAGAGAGTTTCTTTTCTTTATATCCTGCTAAATTCACTTTAAAACAGTGTTAAAAGCTTCTGTCATGAAAACATGATGTACAACTTCATGTTCACAAGAATCCAAAACGCCAAGTGCACTCCCATTTGTGACACCTGTTTCTACCATTTTATATCATTCTTGAAAATAATTATCTCTACCTGGCAATCTTTGCATGCCTCCATAAATAATATTGTTGTGGGTGCTGTTGAGTTGATTCTGACTCGAGCCTCCATCAACAGAGATTGAAAATTTATTGGCTTCTATGGACATGAAAGGGATGACTTTATAATTGTCTTTAAGTCCATTATTATGTGTCCACTTTAACCGAAAGGAAAGAAGTGGTCTTTACGTCACCCTTTGGATTAGAGAAGGAGAAAAGCTTTGTTTATAATAAGTACAATAATTATGTGGACTACTGAAAGAGGTTATAGAATTTGCATCCTCAAAGGACTCTGATAGAACAGTTAGATCAGTAGTTCTTAACCATGGATGATTTTGTACCACAGAGGGTATTTGGCAATGTCTAGAGACGTTTCTGGTTGTCACAACTGGTAGATACTACTAGAATCCAGTGGGTAGAGGGCAGAGATGCTATTTAAACATCCTTCAGGACACAGTACAGCCCACCACCACCAACAAACAAGTACCTGGGCCCAAAATGATTAGTGGTGAAGTCGTAATAAGGCATTAGGCGTTGAAAAAATTCCATCTAATTATATGAGCAATGTTCTAGATACTTTCAACATTTAATCAGCTCAAGATGGCAAGATTAGGGTGTTTCACTCTTCAAGCTAGAAACTGAACTTAACCACCATGACTGTACTGTCAGCCAAACAATAAGCCTATAAGGATATATAT